TTTTTATTTCTGGACATTAACATGAAGTGTTTCTGTTGTGATCCAGGTCCTGTCCGGGCGGCGGTCTATTCCTGGAGAGAAGCCAAATCTCTGCTGCAGTCGATCCTGAAGCCTGAGCCGGACGTCAAACAGCGGCCTGCGGACGAGACGCATGAGGAAAAGGAGCTTCCTCCTAAAGAGGCCAGCTTTAGAGTAAGACTTGACCTGTTTTTTTTATTCATTCACTGAGTGTTGAGAGCCTTTACAGTTCGCAGCTGTGTCAGCATGTACAAGGATGCAGTGTCATGTTCTGTTGGCCGCTGTCAGGACGAAAACGTTCACCGTTCACACTAAACTGAGAGCAGCCTGCTGACCATCAGTTGGTGCATTCTGTGCAAGCACGAGAGGCAATAACACTCCACACCAGCAGGCGGCGACAGACGATTTCCAAATTGCAGCGTTTTTACCCTCGTTTTTCATTTTTCTGCTGAACGCGTTTGAATGACCTTGACTTGAGAAAACGTCTGAAGATGAGGAGGATTCTGTGCGTGTTCTCTTGACAGCTTCAAGTTTCGAACCTATCACAGGGCAACATTATAACTGGCCCGCTGGCCCGGATGAATGATTGATAGAGTCCGGGCCAGCTGACTGCACGTTCAGCTCGGGCCAGTTAAAATACTGCCTGAATAAAAATAGACTGTAACACGTTCTCAATTTCACAGCGCTTTCCTGTCATACCAGTGTTTTGTCAGTAATTAACCCTAACCCTCTATCACAGCCTCATATTAATATCAGTCAGATTAAGTAGACTCTTACAGTCACCAGCATGGTGAATAAACATGAGCTCATAAATATAAGAAAAATACAAAACATTTGCTTTAATTAGAGCTCAATTAATTAAATAAAAGTTGTAATTTACTTGTGCATCAGAATGGTTCAAGAGTAAATTGGTGACTGTTATTTTTCGAATCAAAAGTAATGTTCCTGGGCCAGCGGCTACAATGGTTGGGCCAGTGATTTTTGAAAACTAGTGGCCCAGAGGGCCACCGACAAATTTAACTTAATGTCAACCCCTGTATCAGGTGGCGTGCAGTAAAAACCAACATCCTGTTGACGATGCGAAAGGACCGACTTATTTTGAAATGTTTTTGCCAGTAACGCAAGTCTATGACCTTGATCAGGATCGAGTGAGGTTCTCTTTTTATTTCACCTACTGGCGAGAACACCCATTAAGAGCGTACTGACGTTCCTGGAACACAAATATTTGTGAGCCAGCTTGGAGAGTTTCAGGTCTGTAGCTACTCTGTGTCTCTCCACCAATCAGTGAGCTGCTGTCTGCAGAGAGACGAGTCTCCCTCATGTCAGTCTGCATCTCCTGAATCACGGCAACATTACGGTCTTCATTTACAGAGGTCAAGAGGTCATGCAATCTTCGAGTCGCGCTGATGGTGCCCTCTGCTGGATCAAACTGTGAACTTTAACAGACAGCCTGATGTGCTGATGGACTGTATGTTTCCAACTTTTAGTTAAAAAAACGGTACTAAAAGAGCGTCTTACACCGGAATTTACGGTTCTTCTGACTCGAGTTAGACTTCACCTGAAACAGATGAGAAACTCTTTTCTGATTGTTCTGCCGTCTTGTAAATAATGAGCAGGTTCACAGGGAGAGTAGAGTATCTTTCATCATAAACAATCTTTGTTTGAGTCCCAACAGCAGCTGCAGAAAACGTTCCTGTTGTTTTCTGACCCGATCATTACCTGGTTATTGTAGCTGAATAAAAACAAATGATGGTGTCTTGTGTTAAAACTCTTTCAGGACTTCTTTAGAGAGTCTCTCAGGGCGTCTCTGGAGGGATCCAGCAGGTCCTGGACTCTGCTAAATCAGCAGACCATCAGTCTCAGACCTTTACCTGAGAAGGAAAGCAGTTCGGAGTCCTGTATGAGCTGTGAGCGTCTGCAGAGGAGCGTCACGGTGCTGCAGGAGGAGCTGACTCGGCACACAGCAGTACAGGTTGACTCGGAGCTCCCAAAAGTCTTAAATACGACTCCAACCCTCCAACCAGACCAGGTCTCACAGAGTCCTGAGACGGCCCACATAGAGGAGGAAGTGCCTGACTGTGAGTGTCCTTCTCTGTCTGCTCTAAATAACAAAAAGGGACAGTTCAACATTTCTCCTCTGAGAGACACTTGAGAACTAATTGTGATTATTTCTTGGTATTATTCTACTGAAAACTCAAAACAAACATCTTAAAACAGATGTGTGGTCTTTCTCCTTTAGGGGCGGAGCCTTTCGAAGGAGATAACGAAGGTGATGAAGTCGTCGAGTCGCCCTCTGACAAGGTTTCCGTCTCGGCGAAGTTGAAGCTCCGGAAGGCCCCTCGCTTCCAGAAGATCTGGCTCCAAAAGTTCTGGTTCCTCCGATACTCTCCGACGCTCAAAGTCATGTGGTGCTACGTTTGCCGCCTCCACAGCGACAAGAAACACGGGGCCTGGGGCATGATCAGAGGCTCAAGGCTCTTCAAGCTGGACAACATCAAGAAGCACAACTCCAGCATCAACCACCGGAACAACATGGAGCTCCACATGACGCAGCTGTGCAGCGTGTAGGACCTGTTCACACATCAGCCCCTGGATGATCATCAGTCTGATACGTTACCTCGTCAGGAACTCACGCTGGACCCTGATTCATGAGAGCGACCCATCCAGATACTTTGCCCAAACGATGCCGGCCCCGCCCCTTTCAGGGTGAAATCATTCCATCTGAATGAATGGCGGTTAATGGAAAAGTTGGGGTCTTTACCGATTTAAAGTCTTAGAAAATGAAAACCGTACTTTAAAACGGCAAGTATCAGCCTAAATCTGATGACCAGTGATGTAAACATTTAAAATATGACATTTCTGAATAGAGATCGGCATCATAACGGTATAAAATTATCCATGTATGTGAGTGTCTGTTCAATCTCTCTCCGTCAAACTGCTCAAAGGAGTCATCAGAGGAGTCATAAAGTGACTTTAAACACCTGATGAGTAATTATTAACCGTGTTACCCAAGAGGGATCTTTATTTTTAAATAATATTTATTTGTAATAGTTTCTAACCGTGTTCATAGCTGTAATGGAGTGGTTACAGATGTGTGTGTGACCGGAAGTCACACACACACCCATTCTAAAAAGCCAGAGATTAACATGTTTACAGCCTGGTTCAAAACACCAAATAGGTCTGATTAGCTCATATCTCGATCGACACACACTGTATGGGGGGGGTGAATGTTTTGATGACTCATCAGTTTTGATTTGATGAAGGATAAGAGTTATTCACAATAAGGCGTGTAGCTGACCTGATTGACAGGTGGGCGCGGTGTAACGGTTTGTCAGGAGTCTTAAAACCCGCCTCAGCTCCAACTCTCAGTCTGTCGTTAGGTTGAGTGAAAGTTAGACTGAGACAGCATTTCCAGCATGGAGACCGCCATCGATGGGACTCCAGCGCCCCCTTCAGGAACAGACGGAGGACGTCACTCAGGCTTCAAACATTCATAGTTGACTGACTCTTACCACTGAGCCACAGCTGCACTAAAAGTAGCGCAAATAGAGAGTAAATATTAGTGATTGTGTCGGTATCACTGTAGGCGTCTGCTGCTCTTTAAACATAAACATGAACAAACCTTTGTATCTGTTTATTAGGTTTAACATGTTCACTCAGTGATGAAGTCCAAACATGGACAAAACCTTTCTTACAATAAATTATTATATTAAATACTTTGATGGTTTTTATGCGGTTGTATTCTTGTGTGTTGATTTCTTTTGTGCTACCATTATTTTGATTCACCTGTAATGTTATATTCTTTAAAAGGTCACATATTCTGTAAAATCCATTTCACCATGTTTCTCTAATATGTATCTAGTTTGTCTACAAACCCCCAATGATGAGAAAAGTCCATCTTCTCCGTCTTTTGCCTGCTCCACTTTTCAGAAAATGTGTGCTCAAACAGGCCGTTTGGAGATTTTCCCTTCATTACATCACAAAGGGCAGTAACCCCTCCCCCAGGTGGGTGACACTCCCACAGCTAGGTGTTTGTTCTGCCCTCTGAGTCTGCCTTCTCACCATAAACAATAGGACATGGAGCGAGAAAGCCCGAGACCTTCCAGAGAGGGGGCGTGGTCAGACACAGCTCATTTACATATTTAAAGGTACAGACACAGAAACAGCCTGTTCTGAGCAGGGCTGAAATAGAGGGGTTTATAGACATGATCAAATACAGGATCAGAGTGGATTTAGAACAAGAAACTTCACACACATATTTTGAGGAGCTCTGAGACTTATTTACACTGAAGAGGAGGAGAATATGTGACCTTTAACCATTTCCAGCGACAGTCGGGGTCCCTGGTCTGTGGCACCCTTATTTTGGGGGTTGCAAGCTAAAAAGTTTGGGAACCCTTGGTCTATTGGATGATGGCTGTGTCCGAAAGCACATACTACATACTGCCTACAACATACTCTAAATATACATACTGCATACTTAACCCGACTCCATATATTCTGGCTGATCACTTAAACATCTGGGTATTTCTCACATACACAAAACTGCATACTGAGGTTTTAGATCATTCCACATACTCAATGTAATGTCATGTTTAGTGTGAGTAGGCCTATGTGGTTTCAGACACTGATTGCTGAAGGGTTCAAAGGTTGATCATATACACAAAAAACATTAAATGTTATTTAATTATTATTACTTAATAAATAAACCATTATATTGTAATTATTAAAGAATGTATTTTAGAACACAATGCTTTTCAAAAGAAAAAGTGAATAAAAAATAAATAAATGTGTTTTTCCTGAAAGTCTAATAACTGAAATTTACAGAGAAAGTGTTGCAGCAGTGCCCGGTCTCCCCTAACACTCACACACTGAGCTGTATGCAGGTAAAAAGGTGAGAGAAGGTGAATCCGTCTCCTCCTGACAGACTGAGCTCCGGCTGAAATTCAAGCTGTTAACTTTAATTTTTGCGCAATATCTTTCTTCCGTTCCCCATGTCATTTCCTGTGATAAAAATGGTGGTCACAGCTCGGGGAGGCGACTGAGTCGCTGTGAAAATTTGACGGAAACTTTGTGCCGGGCAGCCGCGGAGGCAGTGGCCGGGGGTCGGAGCTCTGCGACCGGGGAGGAGAGAGCAGAGCCCACCCGGGAGAGAGGGTCCGCGTCCCCGCTGCGTCTGTGCAGAAGGTGGGTCTGTGTCGGTAGCCACAGTGGCCAGCGAAAATGGCTTCCGAAAACAGCAGGCAGATTGCCAGATGTATGCAGATCGAAACAGAGGAGAAAGAGTGGCGCAGATTGAACGTGAGCTGCATGAAATTCACTAATCCGCTCATTTCAGGGATTATGTGAAGACCAGGACTCTGAAAGTTTAGTTGTTGAGTTTTTGTGGAGTGTTTGTGGTCACAGGAGACTCCTGCAGACTCTGAACATCCAGACTCTCTGAACGTGCACACATCACACAGAATACAGACAGTTTAGTACAATTTAAAATCTATGAATACAGAAGAGGAGCTGTCTTGGAGTTCAGCAGTTATGATGCATTAACAGCATGTTAAAGGCGGGGAGGTGGGGGGGGGGGGTATTATTGTCTGTTCATACTACTGGAAATGAACTTCTGGACGTCAGAGGGGTCATTCTGCACAAACGTCCATTTTTCTATTCCGAGCCTTTACAGAAACATTTCACCTAAAGTAGAACTTCAAGGGGACATTTTTAAAACAAGTTATTTGAACATTTCAAACCTTCCTGACCTGAGATATTCATGTGTCACTATTTGATTCTTATTAACCAGTTAGATTCCAGACGCCACAGAGCGCCCGTCTCTTCAGACATGTATGGAGGACGAGGTCAATAATTTGAGGTCAAATACGCAATTCTTTCTTTAAAGAAGTAAACATGACTATCAGATGATGAGAATGACATACAGGCCAAGTGTTAGAACAAAATGACTTAGGGTGCATCTGAGATTAAGGTTAGTTTCACACAAGGGACCCGAGCCTGGATCAGACTATGACACAGTGTTGCACACCAATACATTCAAGAAGAAGAAGAAGAAGAAGAAGAAGAAGAATGTGACACAGTAAACAAAGACCAATAGTGGAGGGCGTCCAGCGTTAGGTGACATGTAGCGACGTGTCCTGATGAAAATATTTGTATATAAAACAAAATAAAGAAACAAATGTTTTAGCAAAGATGATCAAACTGTTTCTTACTGCAGCGATTGTTGAGGAAAGGAAATCTGTGAGCTAACATTCAGAGTCTAATGACCTTCTCACTGTCACACTCCTCAGTGCAAGGCGGCCATTTTATTTATAACTGACGATATAAAACCAGGATTGTTGTTTTGTTTTTCTGCAGACGGTTGAAGAGCAAGATGTGCTGATTTCCATGAACATGGTTCCAACATGAGTGACTCGTTGGACCTCTGGTGTGAGTTCTGACTTCACTTCAGCTTGATTTTATTTTGAAATACTCAGAGTCCGACATGTGTTTGTGCCCTGATCGGTCACCAAACATCTGTTGGACAAATGACGTCCCCGTCAGCCTCAGAGGAAATGTTTAGAAATGGTGACCTGCTGAGGGCAGATGAAAACTAGCTCGAAGCTAACTCCTGTACAGGGTTATGTTTAATATTGTACACTGGGCCCATTACAGCAGAGCAGGGGCGTGTCCAGAGGAGCAGTTTGAGCCCCCCTTGAGATCTAGTTGGCCACCCTAAAAAAACTACGATTGGCAATTTGCCTTGTCAGAGGCGGGACCTATGTTATAAAAAAAATTGGGCATGTTGCAGCTTTGAATGGGTTTTATTGCAGCACTTTTTCTTTTGTTAAACTTTAAATCGTGACTTTGTTTTATTAAAAACATAAAATTGTCTTTACAATTCAAACTCTGATATAATCAGTCCTTTGAATCCTGTGCGATGGTGTTTAATTCAGATCTTTGTCCTCCAGTCTGTGAGGAGTGTCAGGATTATTTCCAGGACGAGTGTCCGTCCCACGGGCCCCCACTGTTCATCCGGGATACACCTGCAGCCCCGGGGTCGGCCAACAGGGCGACGCTCACCGTCCCGTCAGGGCTGGAGGTCTTCACCGAGGGAGACGAGGTGGATGTTCGCTGCGTGGATCCAAATATCCTGAAGGGGGCGGTGTTCGGTCCGTTTGAAGGGGAGCTGGTGACCAAAGACAAATCCTCAGGCTTCTACTCCTGGATAGTGAGTAATACCAGTTTGAGACCAGTTCAGAACCTGTTCTAGTAAGAATTTAAACCAGTTTCTAACCAGCCTAGACCAGTGGGCGCGCACTGTAGCTGTTCCCACTCAACGTTCTTGAAGCCAAAATACGCCCCATACGGGCTCTTCCATCTTGCGATTTTGATGTCATTTGGAGCCAGAGTCTGCGCAGTAGGGTCCGGTGGGAGGAGCCCTGGTAACACGCTCCGCCCATTTAGCGTATTGCCCTGATGACTTACGCAGCCCTGCTACACCGAAAGCGCTCTGCTGGTCTACGAGTCTTATGAAGAAATGTGTAAGTACAACCAACCGCCGTATTCAAAGTCTAATATTTAAACACACTGTGTTTTAAAAAATCCCGCTATTTTGATCATTATTAATGATACGTGAGCTGGTGGGTCCTCTGTTTTTGCCGAAATCGTTCTATATTTAAGCTAGGTTAGCACCACAGACCGTAGGCTACAGGTGGTAAGATATGTTGTATTTTGTTAGAAGCTAAAAATTTGCAGTTTCAAATTGTCTGCTTTTCTAATATATTTAAGTGAACAGTAAATCAATTGTTTTTTGTATCTTCATTTAGGCAAAGACAAGATAAAAGCAGGTCTGACATCTTCCACAGAAGCCAAGTGTAAGTTAAAATCATCTGTTAAAAGTTATATATCTATCCTGTGATTTTTTTTGAAGTTTCATAAGAGGATTGTCAAAACAAGCTATTGTTAACAATACAGTCTTCTAAAATAAAAATCACACTGAGTCATACACCAGCTAAATGTTAAATAGGAAGGTGATGTTTTCTTTCCCATATTACAATCAACAGAACCTAAAAATGGCTAATTTCAACCTTCATCTGCACACCTGTTACAGAGGTCAGGCTGGGGTCGGTTAGTTTGAAGGAACCTCCTTTTTTCACCTGTGCTTGGACTAAGAGCTGTGCCAGATGTCCTGCTCATCCGCTGTGGTAGAAATGACCTTATACCAGCAGCTCTCCCAGATGAAGAGTCCTCTCTGCCATCACCCAGAGGACCTGATTGACGTCTGCACAACTGAAGAAGGTGGACAGAGTCTGGTGCTTTGTGACAGTGAACAGTGAGAAGGCTACCATAGTCATCCTCAGATAAAACTCAGAGATCCAGGTCAATATTCAATGGTGCTATTTTTCTTTACATGATGTTGCCATGTGTTTGAAAGGCCAGATGCTGGAGGGTTGTGTTGGATTTGATTTTTCCATCATATTTTAACAATCAAAAAATCATCCAGGATCTCTTTACTTTATTTGATTTTTGTTGGGATTTCTTTGTTAAATTATTTTTTATACTTTGTGCCAGCAATTCGACCTGATGGTCTCCCTTACTTATTTTCCACATGGTTAATGAAACCAGGGGTTGTTTATTGAAGATTTTTTTTTCATAAAATGTTTAAATAAACTTTTTAAAAATCTGACATGACTGTCTCTGATTAACTGGAGCACGACAAAGTGTTGGTCACAGTAAAATAATTTAGCAGTTAAGTTTATAGCTCACATTTGAAAAGGCCTTGAACTGACATTAATTTCTTCTTGACCAACAACAGCTAAGACAACAGCAAAGCTAACAGACGAGCTCAGCTTGTCACAGCCGGGCTCGTCTGAGATAAATGGCCTTCAAACGTATTTAATATTAAACATTTAAAGCCAATAAGCATAGCAAGATACGCATGAGATTCCATTTCAATTTATTCAATCACACACTTGTCACAGTCTGGCATGTTGTGCTACTGTTTTCAAGAGTTAATAACTGAAGAGAAGAACTCCATCGAGAGAGGACAGGAAACCAGGGGTGCAAACTTGTCACCTTTTGGCGAAATTCGCCGTTTTGGATCCCAAATAGGTCATTTGTGTGCTTCATTTAGATCTGCAATAAAAATATTTGGAGGGGGGTGGGGGAGGGATGTGGTTTCATATTGATTGCGGTCAGAGCGGTCTGATTGCTCAACACGGCACAAAGAAAGTACTTCCGGCCCCTGTAGCCAATCATTGCAACGACCACAAGAAGCATGAAACCTGATTCAATGAGTCACAATGTGCAGCACATGGCTAGTTTACATAACGTTATTTTCCCGTGAAAACACTGGAAAGATTCGAAGTCTGGCTAGCAAGCCAGCCTTTCTGTTAAACATGCTGTCTGATCATATTTACTGTTTGGTATCCATAGGTAAAGATGACGAGAGAAATGTGTGCTAGCTGAAGGTAACTTCATACAGCTTTTTGGTTCATTATTATCTCAGGCAACATTAAAGTGACAGCTGGTCAACAAATGTAATAAAAGAGGGAATATAAACTTAATGAAAACCAGCAGGAGCTAAACATCAGGTTCATATATTGATAATGTTTCATATTTTATGATAGAAGAGAAAATATTGTCATACTTGATGACTGTATTATGATGCTCTCTCAGACACTTGCCCTGAGAGCTACTTGCATAGTGACTGCCCTTCACATCACCCCTTAGTGGAACATGGTAAGCCCTGTTCTGCAAATTCATCCCATTTATAAAAAGGGACTGAAGGTTAGGAGCACGGGTTTTTCATGTTTCACTGAAGCTTTATCAAAAAGTTAAAACGGAACATATAGACAAGCAATTGTGTTTTCCTTATTGTTTGCACTGCTTCTTTAGTCGGTCTGAATGCTAAAATCGTCTGTAAATTCACATTTTAAAGCTGATATTTTTTTTTTAAAATCTTCCCGGGGGTTTATGCCCCCAGACCCCCCTAGGAGGTTTGGATCCATGTCACCTTTTTCATCCCTGATCAGTTTGCACCCCTGGGAAATGCTCGGGACGAGTCCTCCATGTTGTCAGGGGTTGCTGATGGATATGAATCTGAGGGCATCTTCTGTAATAAAGAAAAACGATCTTGGAGTTAAATGTAAAGTATAATGAATTTTACTGTGATGTTTCTGCCTCAGACCTGAAATAAGGCCTGTCCTGAGGTTCTGCTAAACTTCAGGTTCTAAAGTTTGCTTTTATAGATAAGTAGCTGATAATGTTTTTTGTTTTCCTATTAAATACATTATAACTATTTAAGAGGAAAAATATATATATAATAAGACATGATGAATCCAATAATATGACCAGCTTTATGAATTTATGTTTTAAGACAAGTGTTCCTGCCACTTTCTGTTGAAGATTATTTTAAACTGTCATCACATGGGCCAGCCTGATAAATTAAACTAATGTTAAATATTCTCATATAATCATGACATACACAGGGTTACAATAATTAACTTTTGCCTATGACTTAGTAGCCAGGGATGTCAGCTAAAAGGTGAAAACTGAAACAGCAGAATCAATCTGAGAGGCAGAAATGAGAAGCTTGTATAATTTAATATACATAGAGTTTATATTAACTCAGTGTTAGACAGGACTGTGGCTTACTTAGTATGATTCTGTAGGACTCCACATTCTTATATCACTTTAAAGTGAGACAGCAGATAAAGATATCTGATAGCATGAGCTGATTATGAACTTTGTCTGTTAACTCAGGCGTTTTGCTTCAGGCTCTCAGCGCGTCACAGAAAGGGGCCGTGTGAAATGTCTTTTGACCATTCTTATTCACAAAAGGGTTGAGTGCAGGCAGTCCAATATAATGAGGTGTGATGATGAAGTTAATGTGGTAAAACAGGATACTGCAGCTGCAGATAAGTAACGAGAGAACAATCCTGCAGAAAAGTATTGTGTGCATTTGTACATGAATGTAATAATTTTACCACACACTGCACCACAGTGTCTCCTGTTGATTTATATTTTCTAACTACTCACAGTACAACTGTGAAACTTAAACAGTGAGACATGATTTCAGCAGTGTGAGCAGAAACTGCAGTCAGTTGGATTCTTGTGCTTCATTAGAAATATGCAGAAGTAACTTCAGTATTTAGCTAAAAAAAAAGTAAATTCAATGTACTTATTTGGTGTTGTGTGGTAATTACCCGTTAAACGAATCGGACAGCCAATTTGTGTGCAGAACCTCACCGGAGCTGGACTCAGAGTCTGGACTGCGGTTTCCTTTGGGCATTGATTTCCTTGAAGACAGAAAGAAGAACAATTTAAACATGAACTAGACTTCTTGCAGAATCATAGAGGCTGTTAAAATCTTCTGCTAGTCTTCCTTACATTTTAAGAAAGATTATAAATTGTTACTAAAATTACTTTGATGCTGATAGCGGTTACAATAAAACGGTCCAATCATATAAGAGATCATTTTACCTTTGAGTCCTTTGTGAAGACATGCTCTTCAGAATCAGCACTGCAAAGACAAGATGATGGCGTCCACCTTCACAACCTGCTGCTTCAGTCTGGCTGCATCATGGTCACCTACAGGAACACCACAGAAATGCAATCAAAGTACTTCAGTCTATTTATCAGAGGATATACTGTATGCAAAGTAGAATTCTTTTTTTTAGCTATAATTCCTCAAAAAGATTTGAGACTGCTTTGTTATTTGAGGTTAAATGTAAGTCTAAAACTAAAAAGTTAGAACAGACAAAATGATAAGGAAATATCCAAAAGAGAATTTTAAATAGAAATTAATCTTGTTGAACAGAAATAGTGTTAATAACAGGAAAGTAATTATATAACATATGAATCACATAATCATAGAGCAAAGCAAGAAGAGTATTTCTGAACAAATTTTGAATAAGCTGAACTAAAGTCACAACAAATCAACTGTAAACTATTGAATTGACTGCTGGTAATGTGCTGTAGTGCTGACTATTAAGTAAATAAATAATAAGTAAATTAACACGAAAGTCAACCTGTTGAAGTCTTAGTAGAATATGATCAGCCCGTTTTGAGTCCTTGTACAAATCATGTCTGGTTCATATTACATTTCACCGTCGGCTGCTGATATTAACATGTCCGTTCTGTTTATTTTCTTTGAACAGCTAGAGACATTATTGAACCAGATAATAACTTTAGTGTTATCTGAACACATGAATAAATATTCTGCCGCTTCCAAATATTAATGGCAAATTTCAGCCCCGCAGCAGCATCACAGGGAGCGGAAGAAAGTCGAGCCTGTTATTCTTCACAGTCTGTGCACACTGAGCAGACTGACCAACTGTTAATGTTATCAATAATGCAGACCATCAGGACATACTCTATTTTACTTCAACAGACCGTAAAGTTATTGTCTGTGATGCGCAACTATATGCTGAATTTTACTACGGATCTGATCGTTCATTAATATGAATCTCAAGCACAGTTAAGTTATAGTATCATGAAGCACAGCCAGCATAGTTTATCAGGATTCCCCCCGATTATTTACTGAAATAAAAAGATAAATAATGTCCGTCACAGTCAGCTATCAGTAACATATTATTGCCACCATAACGTTAGCTCCGTTAGCCTACTTCAGTGTTAGCTAGCTAGCTAACGAAATTACCCACAAACAGCACATTAAACAAACATTTCAACTTACCAAGTTAACCCAGATATCCTTAAATCCCACAGGTTGGTTAGATGTGTTTACAGCAGAACAACTCATTCTATCAGTCCAAGAGAGACAAACACTGAGTGGAAAAGTTCAATGTCGTCTCGGCTTTCCTTCGCTACGTAGCTTTGCTATTCCCAAAGAGAGCTACGCAAGATCGGCGGCTGTCAATCATCGTCAAATATGACTTAAAATCACGTTTTTCAATCTCAAATAACTTATTTAAAAGAAACTTCACAGAAAAACGAGCACTTGAACACAATGTAGGATGATTATTACTAATGATCACAGCAGAGTTTAGGTTTGGAAAAAAATTATGTGACGAGTATTTTAACTTTAACAGTTTGACCCACATCCCATCTGTTATCATTAAGGAGGCGGGGTTTATGGCCTATACTGCAGCCAGTCAGCAGGGGGAGCTCTAAAAATAAAAGCTTCACTCCACCGGGGAGCTTTTCCCGTCCATTATTTTTACTGTCTATGGCCTAGACATTGAGCTCAAAGCCAGTTAAGACCCATTCCAGAGCAGTTCACATCAGTCTAGAACCAGTCGACACCAGTAGCTGGGACAGTTTAGACCAGATCAGAACCAGTCCAGAGTTGTTCCAGATAAAAGTTCCTAGTTATAGTTTCAGACAGGACGTGTTTAAGTCAGTTACACTTTTACATTAATTGAAAACCAGTTCAAAACATTCCCCGAAACATGTTTCCTCAGTTTTAAACCAGTCTAGAACTATTCTAGAACCAGTCTGCTCCAGTTTGGTGCCAGTCCAGGCCTTTTGAAGAGACATTTAACACCAAATTGGAACCAGACCTTTTCTCCAAGGTGTCCAAAACCTGTTATAGTGAACGATTAAATCTGTTGATACCTGTTCCAGTCTAGAACCAGTCTAGAGTTGTTCCAGTTAAGTTTACAGCCCATCCAGACCAGTTATAGTTTCAGACGAGTCTAAGTCTGTACACTTACACTTTTACATTCATTGAAAACCTTACCAGTGTAAGTAACAGTTTCTAGCTCTTTTCCACAACTAGAAAATTCCAGTTCAACAGACAGTATACACCAGTTTAAAATCTAAACTATATTTACGACCAGTTATGAACAAGTTTGACATTTTTTTCTCCCCTCAGATCGTCGATCATAACAACACGTACCAATCCATCGATGGCAGCGACGAGACCAAAGCCAACTGGATGAGGTAAAACTTTATCTTATTATAAAACCAGCAAGTTTAATGGTTCATTACACTTCTTTTCCAATTATCTCAGAACTTTCAGACGACTAGAAGCCCTTGATCCATTCCAAATGCTTGGCTTTTTATTTGGAATGATACATGCATCACCATGCTCTTCTAAGATCCTGATGTTGAAAATGAAACCTAAAAGTACTTCCTGTTGACCTGCAGGTTTGTCCGTTCCTCATCTGAGGAGAGCGACAGGAACTTGACGGCGTTTCAGCACCAGAAGAACATCTACTTCAGAGTTTGTCGGACTCTGGAGGCCGGAGAGAAGCTGAGGGTTTGGTACAGCGACGACTACATCCAACGACTTCACTGTGTCTCTCAGGAGAGCATCGACCGCAACCTGGACTCAGGTGAGCTGCACACAGGTCCCCTTGTGATGATTATATGAATCTCTGACAGATCTTTGTTTACTTCTGCCCCTGGGAGCCGGGCTAGCTGCTGCTGCCGGTGAACCTGCAGTTGCCTGTATTGACAGGACCACACCCGCCATCAGTCTCACCCAGTCCTGGCTTCGGTATCCCATCCTGAACTCTATCATATCGCCAGGCACATAATCTTTTTACCGAAAATGAGCACCACAGACGAGCGCGATTTTTGTGACAGTTCACAGATGCAGAAATAAAGTCCTGTCTCTTCAACTGCGCAAAGCGAATCCAGGCACGAAAGCTAACTCCATGTTTCTTCCTATTAGGGAAACATTATTTAAACAATATTTAACCATCTTAATGACTGGTCAAATTAAATGCAATACAATGGAAGAAACACAATAAACACGACCCGAAACTCCCGCTCTCACTCACTACCACCTACTGCACATTGGATCAAAGCAGAGTCAGAGAACGCGAGTCCCCCATGCTACGTCATATGACGCGATGTTGAAAAAAAGAGCGTTCTAAACAGCTATACTGAAAACGGCCACTTTCTCCTCTAATGTTTTGCCCTTTTGTGTTGTATAACACAACAAATCTAACATTAATTTATTTTACAGTCTTTATCAGACAATGTTAAGTGTTAATTTACTAAAAAAAAATTAACCTGCAATATGCATTGGATAATAATATTATTTTATCCAATGCATATTGGATAAAATATGGATAAATTATTGGATAAAGTATCTTGATGCCTTTTTATTTTGGCCTCCGCAAATGCTGAAGTGTAAAATCCTGCAGTTCCTCGAGTGTCCACTAGAGGCTGGCTGCAGAAGCACAGGAAGTCACATACACACCCATTCATGCGGTGTAATGGTTTGTCAGGAGGCTTAAAACCCGCCTCAGCTCCAGCTCTCAGCCTGTCGTTAGGTTGACTGAAAGTTAGGCTGAAACAGCATTTCCAGCATGGAGCCCGCCATCGATGGGACTCCAGCGCCCCCTGCAGGAACAAACGGGTGACATCAGTCAGACTTCATCTATTAATATTTAGTCTATGGTGTAAACTTATAACAGACTGAATATTTTCTTAAAATGAAACTGGTTGCCAACCGTTCAATAACTGACAACTTCAACCACATATTGCATATTGGCGATATGCAGTTACCATTGATTGCTAAGAAAAGTCTTTTGTTCCAGGTACAGAGAAGCCTGCCGTCCTGCCAAACATTCAGAAAGACTTTAAATCTCCGTGCCTGCAGTCAGCTCTGCAGGGCAAACCCAGCCTGAGAAAACAACCTGACGAAGAGCCCGACGGCCAACCTCCTACCAAGAGGAAGAAGATTGACCTCATCTTCAAAGACGTCCTAAAGGCTACTCTTAAAGACTCCAGCAAGCTGTGCGTCTCAAAAGGCTGTAAACCATCAACGCCCGGTTTAGGGTCGTCTGAAAGAAGCTTTAACGTTTCAAACCTGAAGGTGGAGGAGAACGAGAGCAGCGAGGCACCCTCCACCTCCTTCTGCCCCAACTGTGTCAAACTGAAGAAGAGGATCCTAGAGCTGGAGGAGGAGCTGTCCCGTCTTAGGGGAGGAAGGGGCGGCGTGGTCAGGCCATCAATGTCTGAACAGCACCAGCCCCAAAACCACCAGGTCCCGCCTCACCCTGAACAAGGCCCCATCGAAGATTTACAAGGTATGTTCATTCCATTGAAGAGATGTTAGGATTTTTCTCTTAAGAACTACAAATGTCAAACCTTTGTTGGCAGTAAAGGAATTGTCAAAGGATCAACCAGAGTCAATGAGCTCATTCGTGTATGGATAAGGATTGTCTTCATGTCCTCCATCCATTAGTTGTGTTGTATATATCGGAACCAGAGTGGTCGACCATTGCACCACATTATTTCAAACAGATTTTCCTTGAACAAATTTGACTAAGCTGTTATCAGAGGTTGAATGTATTTTTCTTTGCAGGGATGGAGCCCCTGACTCCCACTCAAGTGGTCCTGGAGGAAGACGACCAGGATGTTGACTCTGCTGACGAGTCGATTGCTACAGAACTTGTGATTTTTCCAGAGGACTCAACAAAGTTTTCTTCTGGAGGAGGTCGACGGATTCGCCGCTTCAAGCAGGAGTGGCTGAAAAAGTTCTGGTTCCTTCGCTACTCGCCAACTCTCAATGAGATGTGGTGCCATGTTTGCCGCCAGTACACCGTCCAATCATCCAGAACATCTGCCTTTATCATCGGCTCCAAGCAGTTCAAGATCCACACCATCAAGCTCCACAGCCAGAGCAACCTCCATAAGAAGTGTCTGCAGCTGTACAAGCTGCGTATGCATCCAGAGAAGACCGAGGAGATGTGCAAGAACATGATGATGCTGTTCAACGCCGCGTATCACTTGGCTCTCGAAGGACGACCCTTCTCTGACCTCCGTCCACTGGCAGAGCTTCTGAAGAGGTGTGAACTCAAAGTGGTGGACCAGTACATGAATGAAGGAGATTGTCAGATCCTTGTTCACCACATTGCCCATACTGTGAAGGAAGACCTGGCTGAGAAGATGCGCCTGTCTCCCTTCCTCAGTGTCATAATGGACGCCCAAAATGACGACCTTTTCTCAGACATGGTGGCAGTGTACGTCCAGTTCATCACCAATGAGGGCTCCCCGAACACAGAGTTCCTGTCCTTGCAAAGGCTGAACATGGCTAGTGTGGACGGGTATCTTCAGGCAATGGACCGAGCCTTTGGGGTCCTTGGTCTCAGGTTTCAGGACTTGCTGGTGGTGGGTCTGGGGCTCGACGGCACCAATATCTCTTCAGGAACGAGAGCCAGCCTATACATGGCTGTACAGAAGACCTTTCCATGGATCCTTTGTCTTCCTATCATGATCCATCGTCCCCATCTGGAGGTGCTGGATGCCATCAGTGGGAAGGAGCTCTCCTGCCTGGAGGATCTGGAAAACAACCTCAAGCAGCTTCTCAGTTTCTACCGCTACTCGCCTCGCATGATGGCTGAGCTGCGATCCACCGCGCCAACGCTGTCGGAGGAGACAGAGTTCCTTGGAGACATTAGAGCCATTCAATGGATCATAGGAGAACCAAACGTCCTTAATGCATTAATCAAAGATTACCTGGAGGTAGTCGCACACCTGAAGGAGATCAGCAGCCAGACACAAAGGGCTGATGCAGCTGCCATCGCACTGACCCTCCTCCAGTTCCTCATGGACTATCAGTCAGTGAAGCTCATCTACTTCCTTCTCGACATCATAGCTGTTCTCTCTCGTTTAGCCTTCACCTTCCAAGGGGAGTACCTGCTGGTGTCACAGGTGGAAGCCAAGATTGAGGAGGCTGTCCTGGAGATTGGTCATTTGGTGGACTGCCCTGGAGAATATCTGCAGGAGTTTGAGGAAAATTTCCGTGAAAGTTTTAACGGCGTTGCTCTAAAGAACCTCCGGGTTGCTGAGTCCAAGTTTCAGTCCATCCGAGAAAAGATCTGCAACCGCAGCCAGGTAATCCTGTCTCAGAGGTTGGACCTACAGAGCTGTTCATTTGCCAAAGCCTGCAGGGTCCTGGATCTGTCCACCTGGCCTCACAACCGGGAGGACCTGCAGGCTTACGGGGAGGAAGAAATCCAGATGATATTCAACCATCTGGAGTCCATCCCCACTGGGGGTCAGGAGTGCTCCCTGGCCAGGACCGAGGCCAAAGGCAGCCTGGTGGGGGAGTGGAAGGATTTGAAATCAGACTACTACAGTATGAACGGTTTCAAAGAGGTCATCAGTCATGTCTGCAGGTACAAGCAGCGCTTTCCTCTGCTGAACCGGATCGTACAAGTCATCAGGGTCCTGCCCAGTTCCACGGCCTGCTGCGATAAAGGCAGGGGGTCTCTACAGAAGATGTGTAAGAACAATCGTTCCCGGCTGACTCTGGAGCAGATGAACGACCTGCTGACTGTTGCGGTGAACGGACCGCCCATCTCTAACTTTGATGGGAAGCGAGCGTTGGACAGCTGGTTTGAGGAGAAGTCTGGCAGCAGTTACTCTCTGTCAGCTGAGGTGTTGAACAGGATGTCGTCCGCTGATCAGAAGTCTGTCCTGCACAGTGTCGATGTTAACACAGACTTCTACCCGGATATTTAACTACAAAGAAACATTGTAAAGCTGAGCTAATGAGAAGAAAAGGTTTTTTAAACATTGATAACATATTGCCGTCCAATCTTTCTAAACGGTAAAGGACAGGGGGGTCTTTGCTCCATCTGTTCTTCACCGCTGAGTAAACCTTTGTGTGAGAGAGATTCCTGCTCAGCTGAGTGAAACATTCCCGGGCAGGCAAGGAATCAAGCAAAAAGCAGGGGCCGCGTGGCTTTATCTGCAAAGTGACAGTAAAGAAACACAACACAACGACAAATACATGCAAAATAAATATACATGTGTATGTTGATCAAATAAGCAAAACACAGACAAAAAAACAATAAAACAAACACATATAAGGCTTATCTTTCCCTCTAGCCATTTTCACATCTGCACTCATCTGCAGACTTTCCCTTTAGGGAATGCAGCAGGTTCATTAGATCACGGAGATGGTAGAGGTGGCGTGCAGACAGTCTATGGTTGTGCAGTGATCACAGGGAATAAACGTCACCACCCCCTCCCACTCGCTCCAGGTGAATTCTCCTGATTATATCCTGCTGCGTTCTCACATCAGCTCACTCTGACTTTCTGCAGAATAAACACGAGGAGGCTGGAGGAGAAACTCCGGGTGAAGAGAGAAACATTCAGCTGTTTGTGTTCACACATGACGCTCAGTCTGGAAATATCAGGAGGATTCTGCAGGTGTGAACGTCCTATCTGACTTCACCTGGAGTTTCTTTGCCTCCTAGTATTTTTCCGCAGCAACTCCAAGTGAGCTGATGTGAGAATATACATGTAGAAGGATATAATCAGCAGTCCTCCTGAAATGATCTAGATATTTTCAGGAGTGCATGTGTGAAAGCGGCTAAAGAGAAAAAAAAGACTGGTTTAGCGTCCCACGTACAAAGGCTACAGTCCTTATCGCACGGGTCAGAGGATCGATTTCCAATCCTGACGTAATCTCCCCACCAAAGAAAAAGTTTAATGTCTACAAAAAGTCCCACAAAAACACACAAGACGACCACAAGGGGACCCCAGAAACCCCTCTGATGGGTTCCTCAACTACCACAGAGACTGAAAACAGTAAGAAACTGTAAATCATTTCAACAAGGCGAACAGGGACAGAAAACGACCGCACAATAAGTTTATGTCTGGACGGTTGTTTGGCCCATGCCAGGGTTTGATTGACAGCTGTCACACCAGCACAAACAAACCGCAATAACGAGTTAGTTTGAACTGAACCAAACGGGTTAGGTGTGAAAACCAAAACAAATCAAAGATGCAAATGAGAAGAACTCACAGATGCAAAACAACCACAAACAACTTGTCCCGTGTGCCAGATGAGCGGCTGTGGACTGAGGCCGGCCATGTCCAGCTGGATCCAATGATGAAGTCTTCTTTCACTGCTGTTCTTTGTCTAGCTGAGCTCGCTGAGGGTCCCTGCTCTTGTCAGATTGGATAAATAAGCTCTTGTCTCTTGAATAAAAAGTCAGTTATACGTGAGAAACAATCAGTGAGCAGAGCGTGTGTCCCGCTTAGCGTCTCTCTGCATGCTTACAGACTAGGTATTCAGTGGCGTTGAGTATGAAGGCTTTATATTCCTAATAGAAAAGCTTTTTCTTGTATAGATCCTATGAAGTGTATATACTGGATGCTGTCGAGCCTGTTTGTAAGAGACTATTTTTCTCTTGAATTTCATGATTGTGCCAAAACAAGCGAAAGAAAAAAAGGTGCTTTCCTGCCACGTTGTGTTTATAATGCTGCAGGTCCTGCGATGATTCTACTTCCTGTTTGGAGGAACTTCAATCTCAGCAAAGCCAAAGCTAACGCTCACAAGGATTTAAGAGTAACAAAGACTGCATGATGATTTTAAACTGTTTCTATTCAGTGCAAAGTTTCAAAGATGACGTTATGAGATGCTGAGACGACTTCAGCTTGACTTCCTGTCCTGAGGCTGAAGAAGTTGAGGACATTTTGGGAAATTCACTTAATTTACAGCCTGCTTCGGGGTGCTGGTGGAGCAGTGGTCAGTGCTCGCGCCCCATGTATGGAGGCTGTAGTCCTCCAGGCGGGCAGCCCAGGTTTAAATCCAACCTGTGGCTCCTTTCCTGCATGTCATTCCCCTCTCTCTCCCTGATTTCTGACTCTATCCACTGTCCTATCTCTCCAATAAAGGCACAAAAAGCCAACAAAAATAAAATAAATGACAGTCTGTTTACCTGTTAAAAGAAAGAATTGCTCTTTAAGTGAATTTCCTAAAATGTCAAACCGTCTCCATGATTTCCGTCGTCTCGTCTGAATGATGTTTCTATTATGACTTAAGGACCCGGTCTGCCTTTGTTTGTATCCACACGCTGCACGTCTGTATTTTATGCATGCAGTTACTCTTGTATGGAAGCTTCTGTTTTTTTTTTTAAAGCATAATGTTTGTATGGAGGACACTGCCTGAGCTGTTTAAAGTGAGGTCAGACTGATCACTGCTGCGTTAATACTCCAACACACGAGACGTGAGAATGACTATCATTGAGTCCTACGCTGATTGGGGGTCTGATGGCGTCCGGCCCCCCAGCTGAATGCACTTTGCTTTTAGTTGGATGTTTGAGATTCGTCCCTGCTGGACTCTGAATGTGTCTCAGATCAACCAAAAGAAAACATTACCTGATTTCTCTGTTTTTAAAATCTTTGAAATGCTTTAAGATGTTTAACATGTTCTCTTTAAAAGCCATTAAATCTGAATCCAGCAGTTCTGATTGGATAAAATAAAACTGCTTCTGTCTGATGCAAACTTTTTGAAGAGGAGAGAAACTCAATTATTCGGGAAGAGGCAGTAGCTACAGTGAAAAACAGCGTAGGTGTTCTGGGTCCCTCATGGTCCCTCGTGGTCCCTTGGTGAACTGACGGGTCACGTGCACCTGTCCTGACCACCAGATCATGGATGTAATAAACAGGTCAGAGGTCAGGAGTGGTGGTCTGAGACTGTTAAAGGTCACCTAATATACAAAAAACACTTCACCATGCTTCTCTAACTCTAATATGTGTCTGTAGTATGTCTACAACCCCCCCCCAATGATGAGATAAGTCCATCCTCTCCGTCTTTCGCCTGCTCCACTTCAGAAAATGTGTGCGCAAACAGGCTGTTTGGAGATTTTCCCTTCATGACATCACAAAGGTCAGTAACCCCTCCCCCAGGTGGGTGGCACTCCCACAGCTAGGTGTTTGTTCTGCCCTCTGAGTCTGCCTTCTCACCGTAAACAATAGGACATGGAGCGAGAAAGACCAAAACACCCAAGCCCTTCCAGAGAGGGGGTGTGGTCAGACACAGCTCATTTACATTTAAAGGTACAGACACAGAAACAGCCTGTTCTGAGCAGGGCTGAAATAGAGGGGTTTATAAGAATGATCAAATACAGGATCAGAGTGGATTTGGAACAAGAAACTTCACACACATGTTTTGAGGAGCTCTGAGACTTATTGGTTAAAGAGGAGGAGGATATTTGACCTTTAATGAGAATTTATATAACATATTTTGTTATTGAAAACGTTGATGAATGTGTCGGCCTGCCAAATTTCAAAACAGAACAAAAAATGTTTCCTGCTGAGTTTAACAGACATTTGGACTCAAGTGTAAAGAAAACGGAAGAAAAGCGTTGATGAGTGCAGGAAGTTATCTCCCCCCCACACACACACACTCTGAAATGTTCTCAGATGAACTTTAAACTGTCAGCCATGCTGTTGTGCTGTTTTGACAGAGTGTGACAGAAAGTGAAAGGACACTGGCTGATGGTGAAACTGGGCCCTCTTTGTGTGCTGTCCAGGCCGACTGAGACCATGTTTGTGCTCAGACGTCTGCTCGTTCCATGTTCACCAGAGTCTGCAGGCTGACCTCACATTCATCACACTTTATTTTAATGTTTATGTCTTCAGCCGCAAAGCAAGATGATGCATTTTTAAAATGTTACCAATAACGTAATTATTATCTGATCACAGACCTGCTGGGTCAGGACAGTTCTCACGACTGAAGGTTTGTCACAGATCGCAATCAGGCTCATCTCTACATCTCTAAAAGGAGAAGGAGAATCAGGGCAACAGTGACAAAAATGAACTGCTGTGTCTGTGTGGAGTCGTGTGTTTATTCTTCGATGAAGGCAGAGTGAAGTAGTGAACATGAAAAATTAGCACTGAGACAAAAGGCCTGGTGCAGCTTCACACAGCAGCTGGATGCAGATACAGTCGCTCCTCTGTGTGTGTGTCTGTCACACCCTGGAACTGATTCACCACACAAACACACCCACCACAACCAAACCCCCGCAGAAAGAAGTTTGAGGTTACTAAAATAACTCTCAGTCTGTGGTGTTACTTACTTACTGTAGCTTCTGCACAACGAGGTGTACGATCATTGAGAGCGTTTTCATTTGAAAAACAACGATCTGTGTTTTATCTTTTTCAAAGAGCACCAACAGAAACTAACGCCTTTGATTTTTCAGATACAGTCGTACGTACTCATCCTCACTTTGTTCCTGTGTATTTGTGTTTTCAAAGAGCATCCTATTAGAGCTTCCACATAGGCTGAGCTTCATGTGTTAACACATGTTGCCTTATAGTGAAAGCTGTCTGTTTGTCTCCCCACAGTGTTTAAATAAAGTTTTTATGGCATGCTCAGTGCCGAGGGTTCACAGAGGCTCGCTGAGAGAACAGAGAGGAAGCAGTGAGGAGATTCAAACATGTTAAAGGTTAGCAGACTAATGACTGCGTCTGTGAATGCCTCAGAGGCGTCTGTCACCCAAACAACTCAAATACCAAACCAACGCCAGCGTCTCCCACATCCCGGAGACGAGGAAGGGCCAATCACATGGCTCGAATGACTACAACATGTTTTCACAAGTCTCTCAGACAAATACAACTCAGCTTCATTCCTCGCTACAGTCTGATACACATTACATTAGCTCCTCCACAGTGGGAGGAAAACCATCACCACACCAACACCATCCTCAGATATGAGAGCAGTTATCAGGTCAAACCAACAGGTGTTGCAGCGATGGAAGCGGGCAAGAGAACTGGTTCAGATAGAAGTGATTGTACCCGACCTAAAAAGCCTCTGCATGTTTCTAATAAGCTCCACGAGCAGAAACGTGCTCAAACTAGGATCAATATTGGAGATGCTTTGAAAAATGGAGAGAGGTTAGAACGCAAAAAGGTTTACAGATCGATGCAGAGCTGGATAAACACTGAAGCTTCAGTGTCACCACATGGCAACCTGTGTGAGCATCGACTCCAGAGGGGGGGAGACAGCTCTCTACAATGATTAGAATTTAGACTGCAGTACCCATTTTAAACACTAGGGGTCAGAGTTACACACTGCTCCTTTAAAGCTTTGTTACTTTTTAAAGTGTTACTCTGCGAGTCCGTTCTTCGGTTTGTAAAGTTTCTTGATTTTCCTTCAGTCCTTCTCTTGTGACAGCACTCTGTCATAATGCACAGAAACAGTTTCCATGACAGCGGGGCTAACGGTTAGGATCACCATCACACTCCACTGCTCGTCTCCTCACACACTCCCGCACCAGAGCCCACATTACCCCCATTCTTCATGACCTCCACTGTCTCCCCATCCCCCAGCGTATCAACTTCAAGCTCCTCATCATCTCCTTCAAAGCCCTTCACAACCTGGTTCCCTCCCTACCTGTCTCAGCTCCTCCACCGACACACTCCCACCCGCACTCTCAGGTCTGCAGATGCAAACCTCCTGTCCCTCCCTGCAGGACAAACTATCGGTCCTGGGGGGACAGGGCTTTCTCTGTTGCTGCTCCCACCCTCTGGAACTCACTCCCAAAAAACATCAGAGACTCCCCCACACTCACCTCCTTCAAGAAATCCCTCAAAACTCACCTCTTCAACATTGCCTACAACCACTAACTCCCCCCTCCCCCCCTACATTACTTCTTCGTACTGTCCTCGTCGTTTTTTGTTTTGTTTTATGGTTTTATATTTTGTCAAAGCGTCTTTGAGTTCTTAGAAAAGTGCTATAAAAAAACAATGTATTATTATTATTATTAGAAAGGGAGGAGCGAATCATAAACGAGTTGAAGGAAGCACCGCCCTGTCAGCGTGAACACAGAGCTAAGAACAACAAACCCAGAGGGGGTCCCTGAAATAAAATTCAAAATAAATACATTTACAAAATACATTTCAAAATAAAATCAGGTTTGTATCCAGACAGGAAAAAAATATCAAAATAAAAGCATAAAAAAACTGTTTTGAAATGCAAAATACACACAGCGTCCAGCAGTCTTCAGTGTGCGTGTCTCTGTGTGTGTGTGTGTGTGTGTGTGTGTGTGTGTGTGTGTGTGTGTGTGTGTGTGTGTGTGTGTGTGTGTGTGTGTGTGTGTGTGTGTGTGTGTGTGTGTGTGTGTCTCTGTTTGTTTGTTTGTGTGATTGTTGGAGGGAGGAGGGAGGAGGACACAAAAGCAGTCTTTGTGGACCTCTGGACAAAGAGTTGTTCTCAGTCGTCTGTCGTCGTTCCTCGGGATCAGAGTGGATCAGACTGGACTCCAAACCTGGTGTGGACGCTCCGCTGCTCCCTCCTGACTCCTCCTGACTCTTCCTGTCTCCTTCTCCTGACTCCTTCTCCTCGCCTGCAGGGAGACGAGATGCCGCGCTGCCTCTGGTTCCTGCTGCTCTTCTCCGGGATGCTCCATGTGGGTGAGTGGACCAAGCCAATTATAATAATAATAAGCTTAATAATTCCTCCTCTATATTCAGCATGTGTAAGGAGAACTAACACTTTAAAGTTTATAAGTAAGTTATGGATGTATTCAGAAATAAATATGTAAACATCTTATTAAGACAATTAAACCTTTTTTTTCTACGGAAGCACGGAGAGGACACTCATCAACACGTTTTATATTACTCTATGTTGCTGTGTTAACGAGCTAATTTAAGTCCTTTTATCGAAATTGAGGGAATAAACTCATTATTGAGAGAAAACCAGCAGTGTAACCTTGAGATAACGAGAAATCGAATATGGAATTTACTAGAACCAGACCGATTAATCGGTCAGCTGATATCGACCGACATTAGTGTACCATGTGAACGTAGGTATCAATGAATTTAATCGCTGACATGTGCAGCCATAAATAGATTTATTGTCCACCGACCTGTGTAAAAACCTTCATGCTACAGAAACATTGACAACAGAGAGACAGACGGCAGCTCAGTCTGAAGGGACTCGGGTTGAGAACCAGAGGGTTGCCAGTTCAAGTCCAGGTGCGGACCAGTTTAGGCTAGAATCAGATAGCTGGAGAGGTGCCTGAGCACTGCTGAGGTGTCCTTGAGCAAGGCACCGACCCCCCACCAGCTCAGGTGCAAAATGTGTGCAGCCCCCCTTCACTCTGACATCTCTCCATTAGTGCATGTTCACAGGATCCTGTTCCAGCATATGTGTGTGTTTCAGCATTTGTGTGTGTTTCAGCCTGTGTGTGTGCTCCAGCATTTGTGTGTGTTTCAGCCTGTATGTTTCAGCCTGTGTGTGTGTGTGTGTGTTTCAGCCTGTGTTTGTGTGTTTCAGCCTGTGTGTGTGTTTCAGTGTGTGTGTGTGTGTGTTTCAGCCTGTGTGTGTGTGTGTGTTTCAGCCTGTGTGTGTGTGTGTGTTTCAGCGTGTGTGTGTGTGTTTCAGCCTGTGTGTGTGTGTGTGTGTGTGTGTTTCAGCCTGTGTGTGTGTTTCAGCGTGTGTGTGTGTGTTTCAGCCTGTGTGTGTGTGTGTGTGTGTGTG